AGCCTAAGACCCAATGAAAGCTATCCGACAACCCTCTCTCTCAGTTGTGACGGTGTAGGATTTGCCAAAACCTCTAGGAATAACCTGGCATTACCGGTTGTCTATCATGAGGTCAACCTGACTGGCTGAGACAGCAGCTCTTGTTTGATCCGAAGTCACCTCGTATTCCATGTACAACCCTTGCTTGAGTTCTTCCCATACCCGTTCCAGTACCACAGTCAGTCTGCTAATTGTCTCTTTGCACCTCATTTTCCACACCATCCACAGTGTCAAAGGTCGTCGTCTCCTCTAGAGGGTCAATATTCATTTCTCTTTAAGCGACTGTGGTGCTAGGCCAAACAGTATGTCAGTTTGTTCCTCTCGCCACCTCTATTCCATGATCCCCTCCAATAGCTGCCCTACTCAATCCCCCACCTGTCGCGCCTTAGGTTACAACAACTCCCCAAAAGCACAACACTCATCAAAGTCAAATTTGTTCGCCTAGGCTCTACTTTTGGACAACCACCTATTGACCCGCAATGCCCAATATGCGATGAGCCACTGTAAACTTCGCACCCTCGTATTATGGATTTCAAAAAATATGTGCCCAAGGTAATTTCAACAGGCCCATTATGCTACCTGCCATCATATGCACCATCAAAATGTTCCTCCCGTCCTGTCAAGGTTGATACCTTCGATGCCCACTCCGCCAAATCTACCTCTAAATCCTGCAATGACCCCCGCTTGTGTACATGTCATCCCGCTTTGATGACATTTTGAATTGTCTGTTTCAACTTTTGTTGCTAAGAAGTCTTCTCCGACGTTTCCCATCTCTCGGTGGTTTTGAAGTTTTGCTAGCCTGAGTTGTTTTTGTGGCCTCCAACTCAATGTTGTCCGAAACAGCCAGATCAACAACAACATCATCACAACTCGATCAATACTACGCGGTGTTCTCTGTTTCCGTCCTGACCCCGAATTAACCCCATGTGTTGCTTTCCGTTTGCATGCTGATTGTGCTTTTGTTGGGGTCCGCTGTTTATTGCTTGGTGGAGAAGCATGCGCTGATGATGCCATACTGACATTCTTATTGGGAAATGCAATTTCCCCTTCTATTCTGTTTTTCTATTGTTGTATCAGAGACAATATCCCAACAGCCTTCTGTGTGACTTTTCTTTGGGTTGCTTTCAACATCTGTGCCTGTGACGAAGAACTTGTGGTTGGATGACCTTTCCCTTTAGCCTCAATATCTGTTGTTTGCTCCCTTGTTTCATTCCTGTCAAGCAAATTGCAATTGGCTCCTCCCTTGTTGCTGCAATGGAGTTGAGAAACTCTCAAATCTTCGCCATGTAAACCGGAATGTTGCGTGGGCAAAGTTTCATGATGGGTCCCACTGATTTGATTTTCATTGAAAAAAATCAAATTGTCTGGTCCTTTGTTGGTGTGATGGTTCTGAGAACCTCTCGAACCTTGTTGTATCGGAGACAATGTCACAACAGCCTTCTGTGTGACTTCTCTTCGGATTGTTTTCAACATCTGTGCTTGTGACGAAGAACTTGTGGTTGCATGCTCCCTCGTTTCATTCTTGTCAAGCGGATTGCAATTTGCCTCTCCCTTGTTGCTGCGATGGAGTTGAGAAACTCTCAAACCTTCGCCATTTAAACCCGAATGTTGGGTGGGCAGAGTGTCATTGAAGTTCCCGTTCATTTGATTTTCATTGAAGAAATTCAAATTGCCTGGTCCTTTGTTGGTGTGATGGTTCTGAGAATCTCTCAAAACTTCAACATTGGTGGCAAACTCTTGGCTCCCCACAACTGTTGAGTGTTCTGCATTCACTCCACAATGTCCGCTGTTGAAGGTCTGGTGAACTTGGGCATAAACAATTGGAGCGGATTTTGAAGGAAACCTACATACATGATGCGCACAATATAAAACCGTTAATTCCATATCTTCCTTTTCCCCTGTCTCTTGAAGGAAACGTGCATGCACAAAACACACATTTATAAATCTTTATATCATCTCTCTCTCTCTCTCTCTCTCTCTCTCTCTCTCTCTCTCTCTCTCTCTCTCTCTCTCTCTCTCTCTCTCTCTCTNTCTCTCTCTCTCTCTCTCTCTCTCTCTCTCTCTCTCTCTCTCTCTCTCATCGCGAGGGAGAGTAGGTAGACGTCTCACACGTTTCCTCTTTGGGGGCTTAGGTTTTGCCTCGCTGCATGGATGAACTCGAGTAGTCTTATAGCTTAGAGTAGGATAGCCGTGCCTTGTAATTTTGTGAACTAATCGTACATAAGAGCCTTCTTCAGATCTAATATTCACATTGCTTGTACCTGACTCTCTTCGGTCATTGCCTGCAGCCATGGCTGCCAGAACAACTGTTCCTCCCTCCAGACCAGCAATTCCATTAGCAGGAACTTAGATAAGAAAACAGTCGGCAAAACGGGTGAGGAATATGCTATGAGGAAGGAAGTATTCCGAACAATGGCAGGTGATGGCGAAAAAGAGAAGTGTTGTGTTATGAATCCAAATGTCAATGAGATCGAAGAATCATGGCTCAAGGAGCGAACTGTAAATGGGGGTTTCAGCGAGAAGCACACCAGCGTTCGAGACTAGTCAGGGAGGATTTGCTTAAAAGCGGGTGAAGATAAGTGGTTTGCAAAAAAAAATTTCAGTGATGATACCAGGCAAGGTAGAGTAAAATTCTAAGGACGAAACCCGACGTCAAAGGTGGCATGAGCAAAAAATTGGCAGAGTCGTTACAAACCCTAGATGGCACGTCAGTCACTCTGTCACTTCTTATATACCTTAAAGGAAAAAAAGGTCCCCGCGTGACGCTCCCAGCGGGCCCAGCGAAAATCGGGCTAGGAGGTTCGCGTGTCGTGCCGCACGGGACCGAGGAGGGCGCGTCGGTTGGGAACTACGGCAGCGAGGGGCAGGGCAGCAAAATCGGGGCAGGGCTCATCGGTTGGGGACGGCGGCAGGGCAGTGGGCCAGGGGGAACCGGTGAAAATGGCAACGAGGGCCGAAGAAATCCGGCGCCTGCAGGCAGTGCGGTGCGTGGGCCTGCGGGATTTTTTTTTTTTTTCCTGTCGCGCGGGGCGCGGGGGACCAAACTACGTTATCGGAGCATTGCTTTGCAGGGATCAATGGTGGTCGTGTGTGTGTGTGTGTGTCAGAGAGAGAGAGAG